TATTAAAACACTCATACTTGTACTCATAAAAACAGTCTGATACTTCAAACTGATTCCACTTTTATGCTTGGTCGCATCATTTCATCTTCCACTTCAACAATGTCCGATATACTGATCTGTTCTTACCGAGCTGTTGTTGTTAACGTAGAAGGCCTTGTCGCGCGAAGACGAGTAAGGTGTTCAAGTCAAACGAAGCACAGGAGGCCACTGACAAACTTCTGTTGTTTTCAACTAAAGTATGTTTGCCAAAATCTGAACTCAAAACTGATTAAAGTCGGTTTTTGCAAAAACTAAAACTGGAATCGATCAAGAAAAGTAACCATGCCTGTCTTTAAAAAATAAACAAGAAAGAAAACAGTCTGTACTGATCTACAGTGTTTCATTGTAGATCAGAATCTGTTGAGAAAATTACATCTAGTGGCCTGAGATTATTTACTGGATACATTAATTGCACCAACAAAGGAAGACCAGACAGCCTTGGTTTACATTGTCAGAGTATTTTTATTGGCGGGCTCTCAAGTTGAAGCACATTCACCAGTGCTGTTTATTTTTACAGAAAAATATGGTTTAACAAGCTGTTTGCTATTGATCAGGGTTTGACCGGTGAGCGGTTACCATGGATACGATGCAGTAAATCTCTTCAGAGCAGTAAGTCTTGGCTGTAAATGGAAGATGTGCATCTTTGTGAAACAACAGCTGGTTCCAGTCAAAACCAGCGTGAGGCGCGTCGCAGAGAAGCCTCTTCATTGTGTTGTGAAAAACACATCTGCAGTTGATTAGAAGAAAAACAAGAAGTGGTTTTAGAGACATTGTTTGGGACGAGTGTCTCCTAAAGAGAGGACGGTTTCTTGTACAGGAGTCCCTCGATTATCGCGGGGGGTTACGTTCCAGACACCACTGCGATATATAGTTGATGACAAACTGGAGTTGAAATGATCAGCGTCTATTCCTTCTTTAGGTGTTTCTTATGCCACTTTTTTCAGGCAGACAACTTTTGCTTAAATGTTTTTACTGCAGTTAAAATGACACATTGGTTTTCTTTGTTAAATAAAAACGTTCAAAGCTGTAATCATTCCTCTTTCTTATTTTGCTTAATGGCGTTTAACTCTGCATGTCATCCCTGAAATTCTGACGCACAGAATCACAAGAAACACAACGTCACAGGGTAAACACACTAAAAACATGTATTATCTGCAGCATTGTTCATTAAAATGGCCCAACACCATTAATGTATTACAGAAAATATACATACAGTACGCACACTTAATCATATTGTAGACCACTGTATTAAGTAATACATTCAGCTAGTACTTTTACTTGTAATACTTTTGAGTATTTTTAAAAGCAAGTACTTACTTTTACTCAAGTAAAAACATTAACGAGGTACTTCTACTTTTACTAGATTACATTTTTGTCTGATTATTTGTACTTTTACTTAATTACAGTCAGTGTTTGAGTACTTTCTCCACCGCTGCTGGTCACAGGTCAGTGGTTACCTCACTGCAGCCAGTGGACGTGACCCTGCATTTCTGTCCTGCTCAAAGAAACGCCAGAGACACAAGAAAAATAAATTCACATGGACTTTCTTTTTACCTCTGTGCTTTCAGGATTTTTACCTTTCAAAACGTCATGTGGATTTGTGAAAATAAAATGTTTTTGTTCGCATCAAAAAGTCTGAGCCCTGCTCACCGTGGCTGTAAAAAGCTTTTTTTTTTGTCCCGTCTCATCTGACTCACCACTGGAAACACTGAATTTCTCTGCCGGTTCTAAACACCCTTTGAAGATAAAGTGCTTGCTTTGTTACCTTTTTCTTTTTTTACTATAATAAATTAACAGTATCAAGCAAACATCCCCACCCTGGCACCTATCTGTAACAAACAAAAACATAAAATAAATAAAATGATATGACAAAAACGGAGAGGAGAGAGAAAAACCTCTAATCCAGCTTTTATATGTAGGTGAAGCTGCAGATTCCTTTTCGCTGCATTAACCTCATGGCCAGCCGAGTTGTGAATGCTGTTACGTCTTTTTTTTTTTTTACGTTGCATTGTGTGGTTTTTTTTTATTTTTATATATGTTATGTCATTTTTAGCAGGACAGAGTGTAAGTGGAGTTGGTCACACTCTGAAAAAGACCAAGTATTAAGAGCACTATTGTCCCGGTTGCGTTTAAGTAAAAGATAATTTCAGACTAGAATTCCTTCATAGAGGGACATCTCCAAAACCTGGGCTTGTAATTTAACATTACTATTTCATCACAGATAACCTTTTTTTTTTTTTACTTTTTGTTCCCTGCTTTTGTTAGTGAAACACTTTTTCTTTTTTTATTCCATGTTTGTAATGCAAAAAATAATTGTGGGGGGAGGGGCTTTTTTAAAAATATATGGTACTTTTTGTGTGACTGATTACTTACTAGCTTTAACTAAGCAGTTTTGGTTGTAACTTATTCACCTAAAACTTTATTTACAAGAAATGAAAGGGTTGTTTGTTCTAATGAAATGCTCTTGTTATTAACGCTAAAGAGTTTTCCTGCACTTGGAAACATTAAGACACAGTCCAGCAGTTTGAGAGAACTACATACAGCTACATTTATTGAATCTCAGCTTTTATTATATTATCGTATTTTTCGGACTATAAGGCGCACTTGAAATTTTTTCATTTTCTCAAAAATCGACAGTGAGCCTTATATATTAATTCTGATTGTGCTTACTGACCTCGAACCAATTTTATGTGGTACAACTGAACAATGTTGAGAGTTATTGTGAATGAGTTGAATAAAGTTTGACTTATCTGACTGCTTTGTTTCGCTAAATGCGGATGTAATCCGGTGCGTTTTGTGTATGAGAACAGACTTGTTCATTGATATTGCGCCTTATGGTCTGAAAAATACGGTAAAACACTAAACTTGTTCCTTGTCTCTGCTGTAATACTGACTTGTTGATCCTGTGCTATTATGTTAGGATGGTTCAATTTTACAGTGAATACACTGGACACCTTAAAATGTAGTGTTTTTGATTTTAGTTTGAAATCATCCTAAACCCACGACAATATTTGTCTTTTTCTGCATTTCTTTAATCTCCTGCACCATCAACCCAGCCTACTGTGCTTACTGTAAAGAAAACAGATGTGCAGTATTTATTGTCTGTATTAAACATGAAAACCAATGAGAAACGTAAAGTTTACTGGATAAAATGAAGAACCATAGAGGATATTTGGCATAGCTGAAATTGAGTTGCTTCATAACCAGTTTCAGTCAACACGCAGTGTAATGATGTAGCTTACAAGCTTGTCCAGTAAGAGTTTGTTGAAGCAACTGGACCAGTGTACTGATTATAAACACACCAGTATTGGCAATAAGGAAAGATTTGATTCATTTTATTTGGTGAACTCCTGTTTAATACCCCGCTTAGATTTGCTTCTTTTAGAGAGTTACAGCTGATCATTGAGTAAGTGACTTCTCTTGGAACTTGGTCTTGTGACTCTTGGGTTTAAAAAAAAATAAACTTTCATGGGATGTTTAGCATCTCCCACCATTAAAGCAGTCGTCTTCCTTTTTGTATTTTTAATTATTTGAGACACATGGGATACCATATTTCAGCTGCTTCATTGTCTCCAGTGTCCGTTGAATTTACGCTCTCAGGAGCATTTCTGAGCATTCCCCTCAGTTTGGCCTCGGCTCTCTGCTGCCACCAAAGCTTTAACTCTCATCCTGTTGGGAGCGGTGCGGTGATATACAATGACGAGTGTTTGTGGACATCAGGACATTCAAGTCCTTTCATCGCTACTTGTGTTTCCACAGTTGCTGTGTTGTGGTACAGGAGTCTTAAAGGATCCTTTTATCACATTAGCCAGAGCATTATCGAACATTCTACGTCCATCCCACTGTTTCAAATTAAAGTCTTAAAGCTTTGCTGTTTATTTACTCAGGTTAAGTTAAAGAGCTTGCCTTCCTTGTATCACCAACGGTGTTTAATGCCAGAGGTTTTGACTAAGGTCCTCTTACAATGAGAGGACGGAATTGTTCCCATTTGGGTCAAACCTTGAAAAGAACACTGTATGAGCTCATGCTCAAACTGTGATTTGTGAATGACTAGTCTGTTGCCTCCATACCAAATGTTTGGTCTATGCCTATAAAATGGACAAAATTATAGCAATTTTTGTATTTTGTGAAGTGAGTTGGGTGTGACAACCATCTTAAATCTTGTTGACTCCAATAAAAAAAATTGCAGATGTTCATTTAATTATTACCTAAAGTTTCATCAAAGTTTGTCCAGTAGTTTAACATATTTTGCCAACACAAAGGTGCAGGACTTCAAGTACTCTGGGTCCATTGTCCAGAAAGATGAGAAGTGTGGTAAAGAGGTGAAGAAGAGAGTCCAGGCAGGATGGAGTGGATGGAGAAAAGTTTCTGAAAAGATTTGTGATTAAAGAGCGTCAGCAAAGGTCAAAGGAATTTTTACAAGACGACCAGCTATGTGGTATGGTCTGGAGACGGTGGCATTGACAAAAAGACAGGAGAAAGAACTGGAGGTGGCAGAAATGAAGATGATGAGGTTCTCCTTAGGAGTGACAAGGATGGATAAGATTAGGAATGAGATCATCAGAGGTACAGCACAGGTTGAACAGCTGGGAGATAAAGTTAGAGAGACCAGTCTGAGATGGTTTGGACATGTCCAGAGGAGGGACAGTGGGTATATTGGTAGAAGGATGTTAGAAATGCAGCTGCCAGGAAAAAGACAAAGAGGAGACATATGGATGCAGTTATAGTTAGAGAGGACATGGAGGTAGTTGGAGTGAGGACAGAGAGATAGAGGAGGATGACTGAAGAGGGAACTGCCAAAAGAAGAAGCTAACAGACAAAACACATACAGATGCAGCCAAAAACTTTATCATTTGCCTTGCGTTTTGGTGGCAGGTGATGAACTTTGCATTATTTTGTTTGTCAAACCAAGAGGTGCAAAACGTGACTTTGATTTTCCTAAATCTCAGGTACGCCCAGCCATGATTGAGGACAAGGGTCACCGCGTTACCGACTACTTTGTGGTGGCCGGCCTGACAGAAAAGTCCACGCCGCTGGAACAGGACCTGTCTGAGACCAAGTCTGGTGGATTCAAAGGACCCATCACAGACCTGGCTATCATTAACAAATCAGCAGGTGAAACCGTCCCTGAGGGGTTCACCTGCATCGACAGCACCTACAGCGGCCAGCCAGCCAACCTCAACCATGGCAGTCTGAAGAGCCCCGAGTTCTACCTGTGCTACAAACGAGGGCGAGGAAAACCTCCGCTCATCGATGTCGGGTGAGACTGTGATTTGATTTATTTTTTATCTACAAAGCTTTATACACAGTAAGGTGGAAAAGTTTTAAACTGTCTTTAGTTTATTTAAACTTCACTTCCAAAGAGTCCGAGTGTTTTCAGATCTTCTAGTCTTAAATTTCTGAATATCTTTTATTTTTTGTACTATAAACAGTAAAATTAAACATAAAAAAAGGTTATCCTAAACTATATTAAATGGTGCAGTTTGAAACTCCAGTAGTATTCCAAATATACGGATATATAAGCAATTCTGAAATGTGGGTCCACACTTCATGTAAACAAATCATTTGGTTGAATCTGCCAAAAACCACGAAAAAGCTTCAGTTGTGAGATCGCTCTAAATTAGGCTGCTTGTAGTTTGTAGGTAAACAAATATGTCTGAACTGGACAAGTGTAGAATCTGAGAAGACATTTAGGTGGAAACAAAAAAGCCATAAAGACAGAGCTCAGCCTTCAGACACACACGTCTTTAGACTGTTAAGTTACTCTTTCACTCTACCCTTAAGTGTCTTTTTACTTTTCCTAACCTTTTTTGAGTCTAAACATGTATCAGTACATCAAATCTGTTGGACCTCAGCTGCAATTGTTCTGTAAAACAACTCTTAACCTCTTTATTTATGTGTGTTTAGGAGTAATCCTGGTAGTCAGAATTAGCTTTCTTAGGATTGTCATCAGTGCTTAAGTTTAGTTTATGGTAAATATGGCATGACAAATCTTTTTTTTTTTCAGCAAGAGGTGGTTGCTGTTTCTGTTTGATCATGGGGTTCCCACTTCTAACCACACCTTCAGTTATCTCCCTCAATCTGTCAAATCTCTTTTCTTTTTTTTTATCTCCCTTTAAAAACGTTTAAATGAGAATTTAGTTTTTTACTTTTCACTTTGTTTCATTAAGAAATTTAATGTATTTTTCTTCTTGAACGCTGTGCACCGATGAGCGTGTCTGAGCTGAATGAATGAGTAACATCACAGGCAGCTGTGTCTCGTTCAGCATGACAGTGCAACAACCTGAGGCGTCTAAGTTCTCCACACACTGAAGTCTTTGTGTAAATCTTGTTTCTTTCTCTCGCTAACTAAACTGGAGTTTCCGGTTAGGAGCGAAAACGCTGTGTTAAATCACTGAGATTCTCCTTCACTCTGCAGAGTTAAGGTTTATGCATGAAAACAATCGAATGGGGCTGTTTTCTACTCTGCGTGGATTTGATTCATTTGTCAGTTTCATTTTTTTCATCTGTTGCTACAGTAATGGTCCTTTCGTGTGTTTCTTGTATTTGTGTGCGAATCGACCAAGATATCCAGGTATTTGTACGATTCGACAAACTCAATAGGAACACCATTCGTTGATAAAATAGAAGCAAGGACTGCTGGTACCGACTTCCTATTTGAAAACAACATCCCTTTGGTTTTATTGGCATTTAGCACCAGTTTGAGACGGAACAAATCTGACTTGATGACGTTGAATGCAAACTGTTAGAATTGAAAAACCAAAGCAACTGCTCTAGCTCGACAATAAACAACTGTGTTGTCAGCATAGAAATGTAAGGATGCATCAGGAATGGTCTGACCTACATTACTTATGTAGATTGTGAAGAGGGTGTGTCCTAAGACTGAGCCTTGTGGTACTCCATTGTTGATAGTTTAATAGCTGGAAGAAGTACCATTATGTTGAACACATTGCCTCTGATCTGAGACATAATTTGAGAACCAACCATTCATGAACCACTAAATAGATTTTAATGAAACTTTCAGAAAGAAATCACTAGTTGTACAACTACAACTGATTAATTTTTAGGGTCAAACCAATTCGGGTTGGCTGCCACAGCTGACTGATCACTGGAAATGCATAAATATCTAAAACTCAGACAACTTTATAGCTTTTGAACTAAAATTTGGTGTGGTAATAGCTGAGACTCCTCCTTAACACATACTGAACACTAACTTGTCATGAGATTTCACAGTATTGCATGGGATTGGGCAAACCTCATGTTTTCTTTCCCTTTACTTGTCTAAGCAATAAGGATAGCATTTCATAGAAGCTGCAGTCCCGGTACACTTCCGTCTATCCTTCTAGACGGCTGTATGGAACGAAATTTCACTGTACTCAACTGTGCAATGACAATAAAGTTGATTCTGATGTACGAGGTTTGACCAAAAGATAACATGCTCTTAGTCTTAAACTATGGCATTAGAGGAAGTGGGTGATTTGCATCCCTTCAAAGATCAGATGGCATAACTAAAATATTATAATGGCATGTTTCCTTTAAAGTTCAACCACGTTTAGCCTGCAAATAAATAGGGTGGATAAAAATAGAAGCTAACAGATTGTTTATAATTTGTTGTCTTCTGAAGAGGAACCCAATCAGTGATGCAGCTAATGAGGCAGGATGATAACGTTTAGTAGCTACTGCAGCCTCCCTGACTATTTCTGCAAGCAGAAACAATAATTAGAAGATTTGAAATTCAGAGCCATGTGAGTCAACATGAGGCTCAATGACAAGATTACAGTTTTTACAAATGTGCTGCAAGACTATAAACAGATTTGTTCAGTTTAAATTGGGTTAAACTAGATCCAGAGAAATAGTTGCTTTTCAAATTTGAATCATTTATTCTTCCTTCTGCTCCCTCTGGTTTTACTGGTGCATTCCCAGCCCAGGGCTGTGGAGCAGCTCGTTTCATCGTTGCCCATTAGAGCTCGGGTTTTTGTTGCCTGAATGAGATTTTGTTGGCAGCTCTTCTCTTTGGCCCCTTGCTCTTTTCAGAATGAATGGAGCGTTTCGGGACTGTTCTTTCTGCCAAGGCTGCCCCCGTAGTTGTCCATGGTTTAAGCAATTCAATGTTTTAGTCTTAGTTTGAGCAGCGTAAGATCTTTTGGCCTCCCACACGGCATTGTCCGGATGGAAAGGGAGGACACGAAAGTGTGCTGTTATTAAGGCAGTCCAAGTCCAGCACAGTGGGACACTGATTGCTTTCCTGCTTGAATCTTTTAGATGTCTGTTATTCTAGAACAAGCAGTAAAACAAGCGGAGCACAAAATATTTAGGCAGCAACGTCTCAAGTGTTGGTTGGGCTGTGAGTCAGCTGGTAAAATGTTCTGAATCATCCTTTGCAGACAGGAAACCAAAGCTATAAATGAAAGTCAATGATGCCGACCACATGCTGACTCCCCCTGCAGAACTGCAGATTCCCAAAAACATCCCCAACAAAGAGTTTAGTTTGTTTTTTAGTGTTCTTTGAAGAAGGACTTCTTGTTCCAGATATGTTAATAATCGACTTGTATAGCACCAGTACAGTGCACATTGTGTTTTTTTATGTTTTGCCCATGGCATCTTAATCGTTTTCTAGCATGTTATTTGGCATTATGCTTAGTACTATGCTGTAGTATGGAAGACCGGTTTGTGTCCAAGCTTTAACTTCTTGCATGATGTCTTGAGATGTTTCTAAAATGTTTCCTCATAATGCTCTTTCCCCGTACCATCTATTTTGTGAAGTGCATTGGTCTCCCCTGCTGCAACCACCACCCCCATACTTCATAGTTGGGATGATGCTCTCAGGCTTACAAGCTTTCCCCTTTCTCATCGAATGTAACAATTGTCATTATTAGGCCTGTCATGATAACAAATTTTGCTGGGCGATTAATTTTCTCTGAAATTATTTCGATAAACGATAATATTGTTTGAAATTTGCCAATAATTAGTAATTATTGACAAATTTAAGAAGAAATGTTGGTTAATTTTTGTATGTAGTACCCTTTTTGACCACCGGATGACAGTATAAAACTGTTTGAACCAAAGGGCGGATAGTGAGGGAGCAGCGTGTCTCTTTAAGAAAACTGGGAGGGAAGTCCCTTGACGTAACATGGGTTGTCTCTCATTCCTGTTTTTCAGTTCTCAAAATGGCAGACACTCTGTGTAGTTTGACCTCCTTAGCATAGCATTTTTTATACAAAGCTTTTAATAAAATATCAGTAAACAAGTTCTCAGCTTCTTTATGCAGAGAAAAACAACTTTTTAGACGAAGGCACGGGTTTCAACCGTGAATTACGGAGCTTTGACAAGAGGGAAGTTTTTTTCCTGAGGTCGGCCTGTTAGCTTAGCTCATAACTTAGCTTCTCAGCTTAGCTGCTTTTAACGATCCAAAAACGCGATTTTGGACGGTCAAAACAGATTTTAAAGAAAAAAGAGAAAGAGAGGGGTCAGTGAAGAGCACCGGAGTTGATTTTTTTTGTCATCCAGTGTCTTCAGTAGAAAGAGAGAGACACAAAACGATAAAGCCGATAAATGAACATGAGGTCGATAATTTTCATTTATCATGCAATGAATTAATTTATTGTTTATTGCGACAGGCATTATGGCCAAACAGTAAAAAAAAAAAAATTTCACCAAACTACAGGACATTTTTCCAAAAGTTACGGTCTTTGTTTATTTGCAAACTGCAGTTTGTTTGTTGTTGTTTTTCAGATTAATGACTTCTTCCTCGCTGAGCGGCCTTTCAGTCCACGTCAGTCCAAGACTCGTTTTACTGATAGTGACACTTTCTTACCAGCCTCAGTCGGCATCTTTACAAGGTCTTTTGCTTTTGTTTTGGGGATGATGAATACATTTCCCTCCAAAATACTTTAATCTGAGGCGCACAGATCTCGTGTCCTTCCTGAGCGGTACGATGGCAGGACGTTCCCATGGTGTTTATACTTGGTTATGATTGTTTGAGCAGATGAAGGTTGCACCTTCAGGAAAATCATGCCCGAGGATGAACCAGAGTCGTGAAAATCAACAGTTCTCGTCCAAATATCTGGGTTGATTTCTTTTCATTCTCCGATAATGTTACGCAAAGAAGCTGCGTTTGAAATGTGCCTTAAAATGCATCCATAGGCGCTTCTTTTAATTAACTCAAGTGTTGCTAACTTATCTTTCAACGCTATTACCTTTTCATCTGGGCTATCCCAATTGGTTTAAAGGCTCAGTAATCAGTGTTTGTAAACTTGTGACTGAAAAAAGTAATAAAAATGGATCTTTCTCATGTTTGACCATTTACCAAGTTGATTATCTCTGTTGTCCTTCTTTGTACTTAATTTTATTTTGGAAAAATAAGACCATTATTCCAAGCATCACTCTAAATGTGTCCCGTGTGCATCACAGAGTGCTGTATGAGGGGAAGGAGCGTCTGATTCAGGGCTGCGAGGTCATCCAGGTCACTCCGTACGGCCGCTGCGCTAACGTCAACAACAGCTCCGCCACCTCGCAGCGCATCTTCATCACGTTCCGGCGAGCGCAGCCCGTCCAGCCTCAGAATTCCCTGGCGGTGACGGACATCTGCGTCATCATCACCAGCAAGGGAGAGACGCCGCCGCATACCTTCTGTAAGGTGGACAAGAACCTCAACTGTGGCATGGTACGTCACACGTTTCTCCCTAAACTGACTCTGACGTCAGCTGTGAGAAGATACGGCGAGTGAAACTTTTGATTGTTCTTTCAGTGGGGCTCCAACGTGTTCCTGTGTTACAAGAAGTCGGTATCGGCGTCAAACTCTCTAAGTTACAAAGCAGGTAAAAAAAAGTCTAAAAATTTTCTTGTGCCTCAATATTTAGGTTTTATCCTTCTTTTTTTTGTCATTTGTGCATCTTTTGTTTACATTTTGATCTTTTACCTTAATTTTGAGTTAAGTTACATTTAATGGACCACTTTTTGACTTAAACTGACCTAAAGCAACATTTTTAACAAAGATAATAGAATCAACTTTATCAGAATGAACTTTGTCATTTTATATACATACAATGAAATTACAGGAAGCTCTGTCAGGTGCAAAATATTAAACAAGTACAAGTTAAGACCAATATGAGACCGTGCCAACATACAAGTCATGCTTAAGACATGTATAAGTAGCATTAAAAAATATATTTACTACATATAAGTTAATAAAAGCTTCATGACATCAAAGTTCATGCTCAACAATCCAGGTAAAAAAAATCCAACAAACTTCAGTCACGTCCTCTAGATGGTTTCTTTTTTGGTGAGATGTTTCGTTCTTCATCCAAAGAACTTCCATCAGTCCGAAGAGCCACAACAAACTCAGTCCCACAAGCGGCACATTCACAAAGTGGGTCAACCAGTTTGCTGGTGATAAGATGGTTTCTGGGGCCCGCCCTCTCCCCCTTCGACTCCTCTGAGGCAGCCATAGCCAAAATGGTTCAAAACATCCAAGTTCATGCTCAATAATCCAGGTAAAAAAAAATCCAACAAGGTTTAGTCGGGTCATCTGGATAGTTTCTTTTTTTGTTGAAACGTCTGATTCTTCATCCAAAGGACTTCATCAGTCTGAGGAGCCACAACCATCTTATCACGAGCAAACTGGTTGGTCTACTATGTGTGTCAGCTGCTTGTGGGACAGAGTTTGTTGTGGCTCCTCAAATTGATGAAGTCTCTTGGATGAAGGATGAAACGTCTCAACAAAACAAGAAACCGTCCAGATGACCTGACTTAACTTTGTTGGAAAAGCTTCATGACTTCTTTGGAATAAAAGCTGCTCTTTAGTCTTGTGATCCTTGTTTTTGTTGTCCAGTGGTGCCTCCCTGAAGGCAGCAGAGTGAATCTTTGATCAACTTATTTGCTCTTTTTAAGTATCTGCAGTGGTAGATCTTCTGTTACAAGGTGGGAAGTTGGGTGCTGGTGATTTTCTCAGCTTCCCAAATAATGCTCTGCGCTGATTTATTTTTGTGTTCTCAGTTGAGCAGGTGTCATACCGAGCTTTGATTGCAGCTTTGAGCGCGCTTTCTAGGGCGCATCTGTAAAAGGAAACCAATAATTGTTGGGCTATTTTTTGTCTTTTTCAAGACTCTTAGAAATTAGTCTATTTTGTGCATTTTTTGCTAATAAGGGTGTATTTGTATTAGGCCTGTCTCAAAAAACAATAAATTAATTAATCTCATGATAAATTAAAATTGTCGACCTAATTTTCATTTATGGGCTTTATTGTTTCTTCATGTCTCTCTTGTTCTACTGAAGACACTGTTCTGTTTGTTCACCATTTATAGTGAATATATGTCTAAAAGTCTTGACTGTATGGTAAAAAAGCATGCTCTATTTTCAGTGAAACATGGATTTATTTTCAAAACAGATGCAAGTTTTAGTGTGAGTTTATTTTAATCTAGAAAGATTTGGTTTAGGGATGCACCTTGAGGCCTGTGACAATTTTGATGCTTGGCCAATGGCCTTATGTCACTCAAAACCCCACTTTCTTAATTTAAAAACAATTTTTTTTTTGTTTGCTTGTTTTAAAACTGGCGAGCAGCACATTTGGTGATTTGTCTGTGATCTTGCAGCCATAACTTTCTTTTAACGGCTGACTTTTTTTTTTAGCAGTCGTGTGACATTTTCACTGACTGAATGCTTCCTTTACAACTCAGCCTTTGAGACATTTTATTGTGTTGCTCTCTTCCAAAGAGCGTTCCTAAACAAACACACCCATGCGGACCGCCTTTATCTTTTTTGGACGGCTGTTTTCCTGTGAAGGAGCAGTTTATTCATCTGAGACGACTACACTTCCTTTCACGCCCATAATCTGTGTGCCTGCAGGTCTGTTGGCACAGGAATATTTGTGTCTTGCATCAAATTACAACAGCAAGATGTTGATTCTTCCACCCCAAAGCCAAAGTAGTTTAATTTTTTTGCAGAGGTTGGATGTAGAAAAGAAGCCCAAAGCTGGTCAAACCTAATCTAAGTTATGGCAACATTGCATCACAAGAGTGTGACTTATCAGCTTTTGTTTTCTTTTGTTCTGCAGGTCTAATCTTTCGCTACCCTGAAGAGGACTATGAGGCTTTTCCTCTGTCAGAGTCTGTCCCCCTTTTCTGTTTGCCCATGGGCGCAAAGATCGAGTGTTGGGCGCCAAACACTCCCAACCCTCTACCCGTCTTTTCCACGTTCGTCTTAACTATCAGCTCTGGTGAAAAGGTGAGACACAGAGACTGAGGAAGGAAAAAGTAGACCAAGCATTTCTAAATCATAACTTTTCCACCTTTTGTGCCAGGTGTATGGGTCAGCCATCCAGTTCTACGAGCCGTACCCAGTCGATCTTCTGAGTGAGAAGCAGAAGATCCAGCTGGGTCTGCTCACCGCGGTGGAGAAGAAAATGATCCCCAACCGGTCTGTAAACTCCAACAAATGCATCTGTCTGCTCTCCCGCTGGCCCTTCTTCGAGTCCTTTCGCAAGTTCCTGATGTTCATCTACAAGCTCTCAATCTCGAGCCCGCACCCGCTGCCTATTGAAAAGTAGGAATCCACTTAGAACCCTAAAGGTTTCACCTTGTTTGCTGTTACGCTAACACTAATATTTCTCTTGACAGGCACATCTCGCACTTCATGCACAACGTGTCGTTTCCTTCCCCTCAGAGACCCAGAATCCTTGTCCAGGTGAGCGACTTCCTTGCATTGATTTTTTTTTTTCTTTCTTTAAACGGAAACGAGCTTGTTACTCGTACAATATTGTTGGTTCATCAGATCAACCTTTTCCAGAGTTTGTGTGATGGTTTGCTGTAAGCGTCTTTGAGATGTTGCGTCTGTGTCGTCAGATAAGCACAGACTGACTCCGCTGTGAGGAGATCAGGATTCAGTTAAATGACTTTGTCGCTTTTGGTTTTGGATTGTTTGTGTTTCTTTTTTTTTTAAAGAAATGGCACTGTATTGACTCAAAAAAAAAAAAAAACTCTTTTTTTACACCTGAGCTGATCCCTTTTGGTGGTGATTATAGACCATGAGATGCACTTTGTGTCGAATTTAAATTTGCTCGTTAAATCAGAATCGGCTAAGTGAAAACGTTATTATTAGTAAGGAGAAGTGAGATTTGTCTCCCTATGCTGGTGAAGATGCTCAGACGTACAGTAAATAAATAAAAAAAGTTTAAAAACAACACTGGATTTGAATTTGTCGCCCTACCTCCACTTAACACATACCGTATTTTACGCATTATAAGTTGCATCAGTCAAAAAAGCATCATGAAGAGGAAAAAGACGTATATAAGTCGCTTCGGCGTACAAGTTGCAGGACTGACAAATATATGCAAAAAAAACCAAAAAACCTGCAACTTATACGTCGGAAAATACGGTACGTGTTAAATCAGCTCTGTGACTACCTCAGGCAACCCTAAAAGTTAAGCTGTTTTGAAGTTGGATTCTGTGCAACAATGTTTGATATCTAAGCTGTTGTGGGTAGCTTTTTTTTAAATGGCCTCTGTTTGGAGAAAGAGTTTAACTTTAAATTCACCAGCTTACAACTTGTCTGAGCAGAGCCAAGACCAAAGTGGACTACTGCTGCGTTCATACAGATTCAGTCTCAAAACTCATGGCAGTTCCATCTAAATGATAATATGCATACCACTTGCAATGTGCATTACTGTACACGGTTATTCAAGCAGAAGTTTTAAATTGTCTTAAAGTATTCCTATGTGAAGTCCAGGCTGCGTCTGAAGTGCTACAGCCATTGTCAGCGATGTAAAGTTTGCTTGGACTGTTATGAAATGTTAGAGATTGGAGCTGTATTAAGGCCTCACTCTGACTAACCATTAGCTCGGCAGTCAAGTCAGAAATAAACTCTGAGACCTGAGTTTGGAGAAACAAAGAGCCATCTACAACAGATGGTATGTTGTTTGTCATAAGCTTTCCACAGAATCCCACTTCAAACAATATGATCCTTCTAAGCTCTCGTTTGTCCTCTGTTTTCGTACCAGCAGGTCAACGTTTATCCACGCAAAATTTTCTCTACCTTCTGCAGAAATGCAGCCAAAAACATCTGCTAAGCTTCAGTGTTTACTGCAGTCACCTTTGTAATGCTCTTCAACACTTCAGCAAAGACACTGCACCCAGAACATGTATTTTTAATCTGGAAACACACACACACACACACACGCGCGCGTCTTCAGTTCAGAATTTGTTTTGTTTTTGCATAGGTGAGCCACTTATCTTTCAGTCTGTTTTGTACTAATGACTGCTCGGTTTATAAGCTGGATTCATACTCCTCGAGAAGTGAGGAAATCTGACGTAGCTGCGTGGCCAAAATTGCATCATTTCACATCACTGTATTTCCTCAAGGCTGTGCATCAGCTGTCGTGTGATTGGTCAAAACTTGATTGAGAGCGTGTTCATGCGGAAAAGCAGGTGAACTGCAACAATGTCTTTTGCTTCATCTGCACCGCTGAGGGGCAGTTGAGGCAAAGGCCGTTAGAAAATACACCCATCTTTACGACTGATCCAGCAAAACTTGTAAAGATAATCAAATGGCGAAGAACTTGTGGAAGGGGAGAGCAACATGGAGAGACAGTCCGCGCTCTGTGGCTGTGCTCACCTGGAGGGAGTACGTTTCAGCCGTAGGGACACGCTCTCTACGTTTGCATTTTGTACGCCGTCTATCGGAAACAATGGCGGTCTCTTCTTGGCAAATTTGCAAATACCTAGTGTGTACTGTCTGTCTGTGTAATAAAAATGTTTGGTAGCAGTAAGGGGAAGCAGCAGGGTCAGAAGAGTGGAGACCCCCGCTGGTAGGAAGCTCCTCCCCCGCTGGTAGGAAGCTCCTCCCCCACTGGTAGGAAGCCCCTCCCCACAGCATCTTTCTGGTGCTTTTCTAGGAGCTTTCTAGAAGTTCTGTTCAAGTTCAAGAATCTTTATTATTACCGAGGTGCGATTTTTTTTTTTTTCACAGTCGGTAGGCACACAAAACATCCGTACCAGACAATTTAATTTATACATTAAAATAACAGTACAGAATCATTGTTCGTTGAGAAGCCTGCTCTCTACAAAGATTAATTAGTTTTTCAGTCTGTTCGTCCTACATCTGGGCTGCTGATGCCTGCGTCCAGATGGAAGCAACCTGAACTCACCATGGAGTGGTGAACAGGATCTGCCAGAATCAGCCTGGCCTTGTTCACTGACCTCACCTTGTGTAGGTCAGTGAGGTTCTATAGGGCTATGCCAGAAGTTTATCTGCACATCCCGACAATCCCTGAGAGTCTGTTCCTGTTTTTTCATGTCAAAAGTCCAAACCAACAGATGAAGGTGAAAGTTAAGACTCAATAAAACATGAATAAAACATTCTCTTGAAAGTAGAATCAACATTAAAACCACAGAGATACTGATAAAAATACATTCTCTGTTGGGCCTTCTTACAAAGTGAGCTCACATGGGGGTCAAAGGTCAGTTTGTCATCAAGAACATTGCCCAGATATTTATATTGTTGCACCACCTCAAGAGCTTCACCGTTAATGACCAGAGGAGCTGCAACTGAAGAGTCTTTTCTAAAATCAGTGACCATCTCCTTTGTCTGCAGTTTCTTGTGACTTCACTTTTTTGGATCTATTTATCTGGATGATTGAGCATGCATCAGGACATTTCTTGTTCAATATGAAATGTTCATGTAAAAAAAGAACATCCCCAACTACGTTAGCGGAGTAGATCCTCACTTCTCAGAGTATGAATCCAGCTGTTTCATGGAGACGAGTATTGACCGGACTTTGTTGGACCATAAACTGGAAACACCTTTAGCTTCATTTTTGGGGATAAGGTTGTTTAAACATGATTCTGCAAAGTTTTTTTTGTTTTGTTTTTTTTCTTACAATCTACACAGTGTTTAATACCATCTTCAGGTTATTTTGAATATGATTTTATCCAATTTACATGTTTTATTTCTGTATTGCACACTTAAATCAGTCACCTTGTGTAGTCATGCGCAGAGCTACTATTCTTCAAATTCTCAACATTTTTATTTTGTCTTCGCTCACTTAAATTGATATTTCACGGTTTCCAAAATGTTTCTTTAAAACCTAAGAGTGTAATTTTGATACATAAGACGCAGTATATAGCAACAACCTAAGGCACATGTTTATATTTTTCTGCAGTTCTGTAAATTATTTTAGTTTTATACTCTCACCTTTCTCTCTGCAGCTCTCGACACATGACACTTTGATCCTCTCCCAGCCCGTGTGTACTCCATTACCACTCAGGTACTTCAGCTTTTGAAATTCTTCAGAAAGTTTTATTTTACTTTACATTCATGAATCTTTAGCGTTTAACTCAAATAGTGCGTCACAACTGTTAGAATTTAATTGAAAACTGTCATCCAATTTATTGTGAGGATTTTTATTGTCTGTTCTTGTTAGTTTTCTGTTATAATTGTATTCTTTTTGGTGATTTCGGTCCTTTCTGGGGTTTTTTCCTCCCTCTGCCTGAATCCGTTCCTCTGTTCTCTGCCTCCTGGTCAGTGGGGCTGACTATGGCACTCTGCTGATGAATCTGGGCTCAGAGAACTGTGCCACACTGCTGCACTTTGTTCTGATGGAGAACAAGATCCTGCTGCACTCGCTCAGACCCGCCGTGCTCACCGGAGTGGCAGAGGCCGTGGTAGCTGTGAGTAGAATCCTATTTATACACGTCCGTTTTCAGTTTCTGGAAAAGGCAGTGGGGAAAATACACAACAATCATTCATTGGTACAGTCATCATCCTCCATCTCACTCTGTCCTCACTCCATCTACCTCCATGTCCTCTCTAACTCCATCCATATATCTCCTCTTTGTCTTTTTCCTGGCAGCTGCATCTCTAACATCCTTCTACCAATATACCCACTGTCCCTCCTCTGGACATGTCCAAACCATCTCAGTCTGGTCTCTCTAACTTCATCTCCCAGTTGTTCAACCTGTGCTGTACCTCTGATGATCTCATTCCTAATCTGATCCATCCTTGTCACTCCTAAGGAGAACCTTAGCATCTTCATTTCTGCCACTTCCAGCTCTTTCTCCTGTCTTTTCGTCAATGCCCCTGTCTCCAGACCATACAACGTAGCTGGTCTCACTGCACTCCTTTAAACCTTTTCTTTGATCTTTGCTGCCACTCTTTTGTCACAAATGACCCCTGAAACATTACTTCATCAACTCCATCCTTAAGAACTTGAAGTCCTGCACCTTTGTGAAAATTAAAAAAAAAAAAAATCATCAAAATAAAGATCCGAACCTGTTTTCAGGTCAAACTTTGGCAAACCCAAACAAAAATGTTAACATTTTCTTTTGTCTTAGCAGACAATGGGTTTGAATCAATGGCTCAAGACAGATTTAATATCCCTAGATTTTAGTTATTAGTAATAACAAGCCTATTTATATCTTCTTTACCAATGCATTCAAGCGTAAACATCACTGTTTACACAGGGGTGGGCAACTTTTTTTTTCCCCAGAGGGCCAAATGGAGATAAAAAACAAATAGCCACATAAAGATTTGAAAAATAATCTTCAAGACTGATAATCTGGAAGACTTTTTCTGGGATTTCCTTGTAGCAGTTAACGTGTTTGATAAAATATGTATCCCCAATAGGAATATAAGACAAATTTTCTATAAACTGGCTCCTGTGACAACATATTTGATAGCTTAAATCTGAAAAAAAAAAGTTTGAGATTTGCTTTTAGGAGTGTTTAAGGTTCAGTCTAGTTCTGGAAACACAACAACGTAATAAAATCAGTTTTACCTTATTGAAAACAACAAAGCCCATGCTCAATAATCCAGGTATACAATCCAACATTTTTCAGTCAGGTCATCTGGACAGTTTCTTTTTTTTGTGCTGAAACGTTTCGCCTTCGGTCCGGAAGGCTTCATTAGTCAAGGAAACACAGAAACTGTTCAGATGACCTGACTGAAAAATGTTGTATTGTATACCTGGATTATTGAGCATGGACTTTGTTGTTTTCAACCAGTTTGACAAGACTGTCAACAAGGAAGAGGGCTGGCAATGGAGGAGGGGTCGTACCAAAGAGACCTACTTATCACAAGCAGAACTGGTTTGTTCCACTTTGGAGTAAACTGTTGGGGGAAGAATCAGTTTTGTGTTGTGTGTTTCCTTGACTGATGAAGCCTTCCGGACCGAAGGCGAAACGTTTCAGCACAAAAAACCCCGAAACTGTCCAGATGACCTGACTGAAAAATGCTGGAGTTTTCACTTATGTTAACCTGAAGGTTTAGATGCCTAATTTAAACCTACAGTAAGTTTCATTGATAAAACTCTGGTTTTCATCAACTTACTTAAAAGTAGTGTTGTTGTTTTTTTCCATTTTCAGTAAAGGATTTGGGGGACTGGATGTAGTTTGTCCAAGGGCCACTTTTGGCCCTCGGATCATATTGCCCACGTCTGGTTTAACATAAAAGTTTCAGTGGTTTGTCACGTTTCTCTCTTTGACTTTGAACTCGTTTTCTCGTAGTTCTGAGGTTTATCAGAGGAACACACAGGATGTCACAATCCTCCAAATTCCCCCACTCCCAATAAATCTGTAACAACAAGCAAGTTTCATTCAGGTGCAGGTTCTGAAGCCTTACATAAATATTGTCCAGAATTTCAGAGAAACAAAGCTCACAAACATGACTCAGTATTGCTGTAGATAATTTATAAAACTCAAGTCCTAAAAACTGTGTAATTATGTGTAGACTTTGGTTGGAATGTAAAAATCCTCCTCACTGTTTGATTTATTTTGTTTTTCTTCAGATGATCTTCCCCTTCCAGTGGCAATGTCCATATATCCCCATTTGCCCACTGTCCTTAGCAGACGTCCTCAACGCCCCGTGTCCCTTCATCGTGGGTGTCGACTCCCGTTACTTCGACCTGTATGACCCCCCGCCAGACGTTGTCTGTGTGGATCTGGACACCAACACTATCTACTTGTACGTGGCGCTTTAATTCCTCTGTTCATTTACAGCTTTTGGTACACTGAACGACTGCCTTGAATAAACCAGTTAAATCACAAGCCCAGTTCAGACTCTGTTTGGCTCTCCTGCTACTTCCAGCTGACTTGCTGTGATGTGTCTCGCAGGTCTGATGAGAAGAAACACAACAACTGGAAGAATCTCCCAAAGAAACCCAGCAAGAGTCTGATTAACTCGTTGAGCAACCTGCACCACCAGCTGGCCACAGGTGCTAACATGTAGTCCAACATGTACCCACTCACCTCACAATAAATCAACAATGGTGGATAAAACAGCCACACTTTTTTTTGGAGCATTATTATCTTGAATTCAGTTTTATTTTAAAGACATCGTAAACCTCGTACAAAAAGTAAAAACGGTTGAATTTGGTTGGTTATATTTTGTTATGTTTGTTTGTCATGTGCAGGTTAACACAAGGTCAACAGTGCAATGAAATGCTCAGGATGAGAAGAACTAGTTGACTCACTAAAAACAAACAAAACAAGAAATACTAAGCATGCAATCGGGATACAAACTAAAGTACCAAAAAGTGAAAAAGAAATATATTTACAAGGTGTAAAAGAAATGCATTAAACAACATGGTAGAATATAATGGTGCAAGTAGAATGAATTGGTACAAGTAAGTATTTCACAGGTAGTAATATAAGTATAAATACAAGTAATATAAGCTTAAATGCACGATATGTATTGCACATAACTAACATAAACTACACAGGTTGTTTGACAGGTTATTGCACAGGTAGTGAGTAACATTGAGATTGAATTATGAAGGTAAGGTATGACATACACGAAACAGCTACATAGTGCAGCAGCAATAAACATATACCGTAAGTGTCACAGGTGTGTGGCTTTTCAATAGTTGTAACATTTCTTCATGGCAAGAAATCTTGTAATGTTGGAAAGCCTGTTTAATTCCCTCACATGATGCCACTTTTGTGCAGAAAAGGCATTTGTGGGTTGAGCAGCAGAGTTCAGCATGTGAGTCACACCACTGAAAAACTCACCAAATCTTCATTGCCAAACACCTTATTCAGCTGTTGACTCTTGGTGTTGTTTGTTAGATTGGATGAGTAAGGTCCAAAGAAACTAGATGTGTTGGCAATTTAGTAATTTGACAAACAGGCCTCAGTGGCATGTGGAAGAACCATACACAGCCACAACAGCTTTGAACCCTGCAGCTCAACCCACAAATGCATTTTTTCTAACAAATGTGACATCACTTTAAAGGAAAAAAAGCTTATAATATTATTTTTATTTATTTAAAGTTGTATTTTTAACAAGGACATAATCAACCAAACACAAAAACTACAGACCTCGTACCGGACTTTCTGAAAAATTATAGATTGCGTGGTAGAATTTACATTCATTAAATAACTTTTGTTCCATGGACCTCGAGATGTAGGTGAAAATAATACTTTACTGACTCTAAAGCTGTAAAAAAAAAAAAAAAAGATGCAAATAATCAGAAACCAGAAGCAATTGTTGTTACGCAATGTAGGCTTCAACCAAGCTAAACTCTTGCTAGTGATGTAAACTTGTACCTGATTGGTAATAAGTAAATTAAGATGATGAATACCACAAAGATTGTTCAGGTGCATACACAACAGCAAACAAAAGTCTCATTAAAAGTGTGAAGGTTTTATTTTTATATAGCATTTTTTCACACCAGTCTGACTTTTTTTTGTTGCAGGAGTTGCTTTAGAGGCCTAAAAAATAAAAAGATCCTCTTGTGTCTTTCTGATGAAGTACTAGCTGTTTGACAGATGATCATGTCAGAATGGCCAAACAATTTATTTAATAATGAACGTACTGACTTGAATCGAAAAACTATCAAAGCACACAATATTCTATTTTAAATCTTTCATCACCGTTCAACTCTGATCCGTGATTCATTACAGTGCATCGGTCTCCACAAGAGGACTTGGCATTGGACTTGACCCCCATCGATGTCGACTTCACGTGGCACAAGAAGAAGATGGCTCTGGAGATGGAGATCCAGGAAGCCTTCCTCCGTTTCATGGCGTCCATCATGAAGAGCTACCGAGGCTACCTCAAACCCATCACCGAGGCACCGTCCGAGAAGACCACGGCTGCAGACTCCCTTTTCGACCTGCAAGGTGAGCAAATCTCATCTTCTATAATAAAAATGTTTTAATGTCTTGAAAGTGGCTCCATACTGGGTCCTTGTTCCCATCTCGCATCTATTTAGCCTCGTTCTTCTCAAAGTAGGTTAGAGAAATGGACCCAGGCTCTCAAGCCTGCATATTTTATTACCTTCCTAAATTGCTACTTATCGATTTGATAATAATGGAGAATAAATAATTAAAATCCAAAAAGACAACTTTTCAGCGCAATCGTTCTCCAACTATGATCAGATGCTGTTACAAAAGTTCAAATATCAAAGTGAATGTTTATTAACACAGATGCTGACATGTCTCTCTTCATAGAATTTCTGAAAAGTAGAGACCGGGCTCATCAGAAGTTCTTCTCCCAACTCACCAAGACCCAGATATTCATCCGCTTCATCGAGGAGTGCACCTTCGTCAGCGACAAGGACACAGGCTTGGCGTTTTTCGACGACTGTGTGGACAAGGTGATTCGCAGCCATCGTCAGGCTTCTGTTGGGTTGTTTGTCCTCTTCCACGGTCGTTTCCTTCCAGGAACAGGCCTTTCTTTGTTTTACGACACTTGATTGTTACAAAATAACGTTGGAGCGCTGGGAGAGACCAAGGAAGACCACGTTTCCTTTGATTCATTTGATTACCTCTGCTCTCTTTCCTTCTCTTGCAGCTTTTCCCCCCTGATATAATCACTGGCAAGGGTACCAAGGTAATCTTTAATCAGATTATCTTGTAGCTTGGTACTTTTTTTCCGTTTGAGACTTTTCTAACATTAACCAAGAAAATCATATTTCTCCCCCCTTTGATTAATGTATGCAGTAAGGGGCATGGACATTTCCTGTTTTTCTTCTATATGCTTTAATCTTGAATCACATCAAACGCTCTGACTGATTGGAAAAGCTTCATATTGTAGTATAGTACCGTGCAAAAGTCTAAGTCACCCCTTTTTTCTTTATGTTGTGTTTCCAAGGAGCTTTTTAATGTGTTCAGAAATACAGCAGTCCCTCGTTTGTTGCGGGGGTTACATTCCGGACACACACACACACACCCCAAACTAGCAGCTCTAGGGTTCACCGATGAGTCTGGGGGTTCAGTTCTGGTCTGTTCTGTGCAGCCCTTGATCCCCGAAACGCATTTGAGAGGGAGCCCGATTTTCGGATGGCCAGCACGGGACCAGATTGAGTCCAAATCTGGATGGAAAAAGTCCCGTTGGGCTCCAGATGGAAGCCGGACCTATGACGGCGTGTCCCCCACTCTGAAGTCCTCGTGGGCCGGCTACCAGCTCTTGGGTTCACTGATGAGTCTGGGCGTTCGGTTCTGGTCTGATTCCTGGTGGGTTCTGTGCGGCTCTCTGCATCCGCTGGGCGCCGAAGTCACTGAACAATTAAGGACCAAACTTTTTCCGATCAGATCAAAACTTCCCCTCTGTGTATTTCAGTAGAAGGAAACGGGGCTTCTGGGCTGGGTACTGTTGGCTTCTGTGAAATGTAGTCGTCATGAGCGGGGATACAGTGTAGGCTTATTGAGAGAAAACTACAAAATGGCGGGGCCTGTCCAAAGTACAGCGTTTTATTTTTTCATTAACTTCTTATTGTACATCCCATACCTTCCTAATCACGTGAATAATATTAAAGTTGACAATCATGAGTCCTGTACAATTTTTAATTTTTTCTCGTCTTCAGTCTTACTTTGAAAAACCATGAAAAGGTGAGCCCACAAAAGTCGAACCGCAAAGTAGCGAGGGACTGCTGTAGTTCTTCAGGCTCTCTGAAGGTTTTTTGCTGTTTTGGACTTCAGCTGCTTTTCCACTCATTTTTTAAGCGTTTCTCTGCAGCTTGAAAAGGAATCGTCTGAAGACACCAAACTGCTGGAGCTGGACGAGTCTCAGAAGAGCGAGCACACGGTCTTTGTCATGCCTCCCGAGCCACCGCCTGATAACGGGCCAGAACCTGCTCCTTGCTACACGTGAGTGAGCTGTAATTTTCTTTAAACGTTCATTTAAAGAGATTAGTTTGCTCAGACGACTTCCTGACGATTTTCTTTGAAATATTTCCAGCTATAAAGGTTTCCCAAAGCTGCAGCTGGATCTGTTTGACCGTCCCAGAGAGTTACGCCCCGCACTGAGCAGCAGAACAGCGGGGGCCAGTCTGTCCAGCAGTCCTGCTCTGCTGACTAAGAGAACTAAGCAGGTCTTTGCACACTTTCAGCAGATACTAGGGGTGTGACGGTACCTCACAGTAAACATCACAATAATGTCTACCATCAGTTTTCCATCAGTGTGACCTGTCTCGTAAAATTAGACCTGAAAATATCCTGACGACTTTAGATCATTTGTTTAAAATCATCACCAGTTTAAAAAGGAACGTGAGGCGTTAGGACCAGAAGTGATTCACATCAGAGCAGCTTCCACTGCCCCCTGTAGCCACCTGCAGCAGCTAAAGATGGTTTGTTCAAAAACACGACAGACTTTGAAGCTGAGGAAATTAAGATTGAACCTCTCGTTGTTTAGTTTGAGGTGAAAGGGGAGTCGCGCTTCAACGAGGAGTGGTGACGCCTCCACACAAAACGTTGAGCTCTGAGTTCACCAGTCTGAGCAACTTTATTCTGTGATAAAAATTATACTAAAATAAAACACACGGAGGAGTTTAACTCTAATGTCCTCTTCAGTCAGTCCTCTTTACAAAACTTCCTCTAACACCTTTCATCACATCTACAGATTTATTTTATCCACATTATCTTTTTTGTTTTCCATCCATCCATCTATTTATCCATCTATCCATCCCTCTATCTGTCCATCCATCCATTCATCTATCCATCCATCCATCCATCCATCCGTCATCCATATATACATCCATTTGTCATCTATCATCCATTCATCTATCATCCATCTATCCATCACGTTTCATCTATCCATCTATTCATCTGTCCGTCCATCTATCATCCATTCATCTATCATCCATCTTATCTATCCATCCATCCATCATGTTTCATCTATCCGTCCATCTATCATGTTTCATCTATCCATCCTATTAATCTATCAATCCATCTATCTATCAGCTATCTATTTTTCCATCTATCATCCATCTATCATCTGTCTATCATCATCCATTTATCATCTATCATCCTTCCATCCATCCATCTATCATCTGTCCATCATCCATCTATACATCCATCCATCTATCCATCATCCATCTATACATCCATCCATCCATTCATCTATCATCCATCCATCCATCCATCCATTCATCTATCATCCATCCATCCATCCATTCATCTATCATCCATCCATCCATCCATCCATCATGTTTCATCTATCCATCCTATTCATCTATCTGTCCTATCTATCATCTTATCTATTTATCCATCATCCATCTATCATCTGTTTATCCATCATCTTTCATCTATCCCTCTATCTATCATCCATCTATATCCATCCATTTATCATCTATCATCCATCTATCCATCCATCCATCTATTCAACTATCTATCTGTCCATCTATCCATCATTCATCTATCCATCCATCCGTCATCTATCATCCATCCATCTATCCATCCATCATGTTTCATCTATCCA